TGTGTGTGTGTGTGTGTGTGTGTGTGTGTGTGTGTGTGTGTGTGTGTTCCTGTATGTATGCTTGCATGCATTTGGAAGCAGAGATCAATCATTCTCCACCTGTGTATAGTGAGTGGTCTTCACTGAAACTAGGGCTCATCAACTCAGCTAGGATGACTGCCAGCAAGCTCCATGGACCTACTTCTCTCCTCTTTTCAGCACCAAGCCTGTAGGTATATACTTCCGTGCTGAGCTTTTTATGTGGGTTCTACAGATGTGAATCAGGTCTTCATACTTGTGCAGCAAGGATTTTACCAACTGAACCATTTTCCCAGCTCCAGCTTATAGTCCTTTTCAACCTTTAACACACACACACACACACACACACACACACACACACACACACACCTTACATGTGTCCACACACAACCTGAAGTCATACATGCCACCCACTATTTCATACCATGCAAGATTCATCACTGCTTTAACTGTATTTCCTGCCCTAAAGTAGATGTCTCCATCTGGACCCATCCCAATCTATTCTATTACAGTTACCCAAGTTACCACTGAACACCTACTTTGATTCTAAATGCTTTATAAACACCACCCCCATTTAATCATATAGGGGCCAGAGAAGAGAAGAAATGGTATTATCTCCATTATTATTATTACAGATGAGAAAAATTGTGGCTTAGAGAGATTAAGAGATTGGTCCAAAGACACACAGCTAGGAAATGACAGAGATGGGATTTAAACTCAAGTGTACCTAACCCCAAGAGGTGTTGTTTCTGCTCTTATTTACACACATAGCAGAGATTTGTAAACTATGGACTGCTTTTGAAAAACAAGTCACTATTACAACTCCTAGTCATTGGCATTTCTGACCAATGGGTTCCTGATAAGTGGTGTTGACACTAAAGTTCCAGAAATGGTACAAAATATGATCATTCGAAGATGCCAAACAGACTATGAATTTCTGTGGGAAGTGTGGGTGGCACCACTGCCTCCAGAAAGGCTCATGCTGTCCTGTTGTAAGTACCCTCTACTTTAGAGGTCACTGACACTGCCGGTGCAGGGCTGTTCTTCCTGCCCTGTTGTGTCTGTGGTTAGATCCCGGCACAGCCTGGCCTCTATGCAGCACCCGATGGGCATGAGATCACAGGACCATGGGAACCTCCAGGTGAGCAGGGTCTTCTTTACTTTCCTTTTTCAAAGCTATGGTCTCAGGTTAACTTCAAAGACTCTAAGTAGCTGAGGATTACCTTGAACTTCTGATCTTCCTGCTTCCATTTTCTGAGTCCTGAGTGGTGGTGCATGTGCCACCATGCCCAGTTCTGGGAGCTGAACTCAAGCCTTTGTGTATGGTAGGCAAGCATTCCACCAACTGAGTTACATTCCCAGCCTAGGACGATCTTCTTGATACCTGCTATGCAGATGTAACCCGTACTATCTTATTCTAGGTTACCAGAAGCAGATGGAAGACCCCAGACCCACAGCGAGGTTCACAGCTGCTCACTCCTCAAGGCTGAGCATGGAATGGGCTTTGCCAGCGAGGCTTCTGCTTGACAAATTAAGTGGACTTGGCTTGCCTGGATGATAGAGGGGTTCTCACTGTCCAAACAGAGGTGCACTAGCCAAGACCAAGAGGCTTTGCACAGCGTCGGCGTCACTTGCATCCTCGTTACCGGAAGCCTCACTGGGCATTTAATTTCCTAAGTGTATCGGGGGTGGCGAGCACTTCAGAGCCCAATTCATCTTCTTTGTCTTCATTACAGAGAGCCCTCTGCTCACCTTAATTCTCCCTCTGCCATAGCAAAGAGCCATTTGTTTCTTTAATGGCTGTGCTCTCACTAGCTAAGTGGCTGCTCAGAGCCAGGGCAGGAGGTGAAGCCATCCTGAGGACAGCGGGAGATGTGCCTGGTTCAGATAGGGGAACTGGAAGAAAGCCTCCTGAAACCAGACGCAGGGAGAATGTCCATCTGCCTCCTACTTGACCACGTCCTCACTCTGTGCCCTCCTCCTAAGTATTGGTGAAACTTCATGAGGGTGCTGCCGCTCCTCATGGGCAGGTGAGCGACTCTGCAAAGCCATGGACATTTGCAATGGAAGCAACATCCCATTCTAGACACAAGTGGACTGCTGCCTGCAGGTCCTCGCTTGGTGCTGTGTGTAGGGTTAACAACTCCGAAGGGCCATCCACTCGCTCACTTCACAGCATCTTTGTGCCAGAGTCTACAGCAGGAGTCCATGTTCACTAGTTTATCTGATTCCTACCTCAAGTCTGTAATTATGTATACGCATTTCGCAAATGAAGGAAAAATGAACTGCCCAGAGTAACATGATTGTTTACAGTAAAGATCTGCTGAACCCATAATGCCCGTCTCCAGAAGCCTTGTTCTGATCGTCACTACTGGATCTCATCTGGCATGACCAGAGTAAGCCTTGCGTTAGGCACTTGAAGGCACCTGAACTCATGCCATGCGGGAAAGAGGATCAACAAGTGCAGGCATCTAACTAAAGAAGGAGACACATAATGAAGACTAGTACAAGGCAGAACTTCCAGCCATGACTAACACACACGGCTACAATAGGCTCTGGCATCGCCTTCTGGAAGCCAATCAGCCAGGCCAACAGCTAGGCCTATGTGGACATGATCTCTACCTGTTCCCGTCTGTGGGCTTGTCCTGCCTTCCTGGATGCTCACCTGGTCCCGAGTATAGGGTGTGTCCACTCTCTGCTTGTCACTGCAGGCTTCCAAGAGGACACGGATGGCATTCAACTGCAGAAGCATCTCACAGGCCATTTTGTCAAAGAAGGTGATGTTGGCAAGGGCCGCAGAGGCCAGCAGGAAGACTTCCCCTGATGAGGCCTCTTGGCACAGTTCTGAATAGTGAAAAGGAAGAAATGGTTCAAGTCCAAGTGTTTGAGCATGGCTGATCTCCCTTGCTCCCTGATAGCTCTAGGTGGAAGTCTTAATATGCTTCTTAGAGATGAAAAAATTAGTTACTAGAGAGGGAACTATGCCATCTGCATAGGTAGCAGAGATGGGACTGGAGTCATTGTGGGTGACTCCTGGTGAGTGAACCCTAGGTGCCTGGAGGCTTGTGATGTTAGGATGGACCAAACAGGTCCCATCCATGCCCTTGTGATACATACTCTTTGCTAGCAGGCAAGAGAAAGCAAACCTTGAAGAGTTGATATAAATAATTGCCAGTTCTGATAAACATGAGAGAGAAAACAGATGGGTGCTAAGGTAGGGAATAAGTGGGGACCAATGGGTCACTGAGGAGGTTGTCACTAAGAGAGGAGAGGGACAAGTCATGAAAATATTTGGAGGAAGGACATGAACTAAAGGAGAGTAGCAGTGTGTGCAGAGGCCATGGGGCAGGAAGGAGTTCCCGCCCTTCCAGTAATGTACACTAGGATGTTAAATTTGCCCGAGTGGAAAGACTGACATTAAAGCAGACACTCTTCTTTCTGGACACCTTCTAGATCTCTTTTTGGTCTCAGATGGCAAAGGTCTTCTGGCTGCAGAAAGTGCTACACAAGCTCTTGAGTGCCAGGCTCTCTCTTTAGGCCTAGTGGTTTCAACCTAGCGCTATCCAAATGTCCCCACATGCCATTTGTTTGTCTGTTTGTTTTTGTGTTTTTTTTTTTTTTTTTTTTTGCTGGCCACTTGTTTTTAATACACAATACTTGAACACAAGTTACAAATAAGACTCTGAGCGAAGTTCAGGATAGAGTAAAGAAAGTGTTGAGACTTGCTAACAGAGCATTAGGAAAGGCTTCCAAAGACTCTGCCTTTGACTCCCTTGCTTAAAATCTAGGGAACAGTAAGAAAACAGTATGGCCAGCCTCATCTTCACTTATGTTTTTTTTTTCTATATTAGTTTATTTGCTTTACATCCTGAGGGTGTCCTCTCCCTCCTCTCCTCCCAGCCCCCAACTTCGGCTCCTTCTCCCTTCCTCTCTCCCTTTTCCCCCAAAAAGGGACCTGCCCTCCCCTATATATATATATATATATATATTCACCCTCCCTGACACATCAAATTACATCAGAACTATGCACATCTTCATCCTCTGAGGCCAGGCAAGGCATCCCTGCCAAGGGGAAGTATTCCAAAAGCAGGCAATAGAGTCCATGTTAGAAACAACGTCGCCTCCCACCACCACCACCCCCCGCACTCGCCAGGCACCCCATATGAAGACCAAGCAGCCCATCGTCTGCATGTGTGCAGGGGGCCTGGATCTAGATCATGCATGCTCCTTAGTTAATGTCTCAGTTTCTGAAAGCCCCCATGGGACTAGGTTAGTTGTCTCTGTTGGTCTTCTTATAAGGTTCCTGTCTTCTCCAGGTCCTTCCATCTTTCCCCCAACACTTCTGCAGGACCTCCAGAGTTCTGCCCATGCTTGGCTGCATGTCCCACCTGCCATTTGCAATTATGCTAATAGAAAAATAGTGTCTTGACCCTCATAGAACCTGAAAAAGATGCCCATCTCAAGAGACACAAGAGGCACTGTCCATGGTGCTGCTTGTCCCAACTTTATGGCCCTGGCTTCCAAGTCTCGCTCCAATTTGAGTTGCCAGGCACAATGTGACAGGTCAAACCCTGTTCCACCTGTAAAGCTTCTACAGAGTGGAGGAAGGAAGACCAAACTCCATGAAACAGCCCAGCAGAGGAAGAAAGTGTGAAGACAGAGCTGAGCTAGGCCCCATGCTCTTCTACTCTTCAGAGTTCTGACACTGCAGCTGGCATTTCTTGGCATCTTCATGGATGTAGCTTTGGTTTCCCCCCTAAAGTTGGATGCACAGATATATCAGTCAAACACCTACAGTCTGTCTTCTGCTGTCCCAGTGTATTTGGGCCCATCATCAAGGGAGAATAAGGTATGTACAGCTATAGAAGCAGAGTTTCACAGGAGCAGCCACAGGTACCATTTTCTCTGGGCCAGGAGCTGTTTTAATTTTCACATCATTCAGTCATTTTATCTCAACAGTAATCTAACTTTATTGTGACTTTATAATTAAATGCCTGATCTTGCGACTTGCTGAGGTCTGATAGGCAGTAATGAGCAAATCTAAGCAACCCTTATTTTAAATCCTCATTCTTTCTACTCTTCAGGTTGCCTCTTGTTTGGGTCCTCGACTCATTCTCAGTGATGCCCCCATATACATATGCGTCATCTCGATCAGGGAGATAATGACGACCTTTGAGGTGTTCTGTTCCCTGTAGATGCACCCAGATGTGGCCACCAAACATCTGAGTTTCACCACCCAGGCCTGGGATCACAGATTAGCCAAGTAATTAAAAGCTCCTCACAGTTGATGTTCCCCTAATCCTCTGACTGGGGAAAACCACTGGGACCACCTGACTCCACCCAAGCTCATGTCTCCATATCCAGGCTTCGGTAGGAGGTCACTCTACTGCTAGATTTTTCCATAGGGGAAAACATTGCCCCTCATCCTCGCACAGTTGCCGACGATGCTGACACATCAGTTATTAGAACCACCATCTAAGTGCCTTTTAATTTCGCTGCACATTTATTTGAACTACAGTCTGAGTCACCTGGGATGTGCTAGGAAGATTAAATTGAGGATTCCAGTGACTCATTTACAAATGTTTCCAGGGAATGGCAAGAAATTGGAGGGCCATTTCCCACCAAAAACAGAGCTCTGGCGTCCTTCCCAGATGATACATCCCATCTGCTGACTCTGTGAATGGGCTGAACAGTGCATCTTCATGGGGCTGGGATAAATAAGAAGGTTCTTCTCCAGGGATAAATGCGGTCTGGACAAAGAAACGGGAATGAGCATGTAACAACAGTGAAGGGATGTTTGAAGTATACACACTTTGGCCTATTTATTATTTGGAGAGCTTCGGCACAGTGTGGCATTTAATTCTTGTATTAAAATATGTCAGCCTTCCCTACAAGGCAATAATCAACTGTGGTTCACTCATGTCCATCCACATTTAGTCTGTGCACATGCTCATCAACTTAATGCAAGTCCCAAAGCCTCTTGTTTTCCTCTTCTGTCTAGCTCCTTTCAAGTAATTTCTTTCCTGCCAGGCCCTGGTGGTCTGAGCGTGAGACCACTGGCATGGTGGATCCCAACATTGTTCTTGAGTCTCTCGCCCTTTCTGGAACACCACCTTTCACAAAGAGTAAGCATGAGCTATGTGGTCTCCCAAGCTCCCTGCCACCAGGATTCTCTATGGACTCCATGTTTCCTTGACTTTGAATCAATGTAAATGTTGGCACACCAGCTTCTCCAAACCTAACCCATGGGATACTCAGGCCCTGTGACCAGGGTCAAACATAAAGCTCACTAACTGAGGTTTCCTATATGCAAAGTTCTCCCTGAATGGTAATATCCTATAACCAGAAGGCATGGTTACAACCCTCTAGGCCCCTCTAAAGACGTGGGTTACAACCCCTCATTGAATATAGAAAGGACGTTGTCAAGAGAGATTTACAAAATGCGCTGGTGAGTGAATGGCAGAATCCCCCACAATCTTATGCAATGTTGTTAACTGGTAGCTGTTTGTGGATGGATATGTAGAAAGCCAGAACCCAAGCTCAGCTGTTCCAACTGCTATCCCAGCATGCTACACTGTCCCTAAATCCAGGAAATTACAGACATTTCCTGACTTCCTGAGCCAGCCCTAATTATTTATCACTTAGTTTTGATAAGGGATAGACAACGAGATGCTGCGTAACAAGAGTGTGAGTGGGAGTGGAAACTCAGACCTCACCAGACAAGTTTCCTGGGCATTTTTGCTGGATTAATCCTGCATTCTGCAGTCTGGCAAAGGAAAGGAGAGAGAATGAGGATATTCTAGCTAGTGGACTATCTAGAATTCTCCTGCCAAGCGTGCATAGGTCTAAAGAGCAAGACCAAGAAGACTCTATATGTTTATGTGAGGCCAAAAAATAAGATTTTCTGCAGCGGGTTGTGGCAAGTGAATGGCTACTTCTCTCTCTCTCTCTCTCTCTCTCTCTCTCTCTCTCTCTCTCTCTCGGAAGTCACTTGTACCAGTTAGTACTGCTACAGTCACTGAGTGCAATGACTTACATTTTGGGAATAAAACATATTGAAGCCAAAATTTCAGTCCCTATTTGTCCCTGATCCTTATGCTCTGGTTTCCTTCTGAGAGGCCACATGATCTCTAACTACTGTTCAATTTGATGCTAAAGAGCCGCTTGTATTTTAGTAGAAGACACTTGATGACAGGACTCTGCAAAGCTACCTCTGACTTTCAGCTAGTGTGACTATCTTTCCAGATTGTGAGTTTGATGTGAAAGAGGTGGGGGGCCCTTCCTGATCCTCACGAAGACAACAGTGATGAGCCCCTCTCACCTAGAGGCCCCATCCACCCCAGGTTCACTCACTGATGAGGGCTGTCACAATCTCCTCCATGTTCTCCAGGAAGCTGGTGAGGTGCTGGGTAAAGGACAGATGTGGGGAGGTAACCTGGGCCACCACGGCTGCAGCCTCAGCTCGAGTGGCCTCTGAGTGACTGTCATCAGTCAAGATGTCGGCCAAGCACAGGATACCGTCCACCTGCAGATGGAGAGAAAGAACTTCCTTGTGTGCCTTGAAAGGGAGGGTACCACTGCTTGTGACAGTCATGAGACAGAAGAACCAACTCCTCCTACCCTTGACTTCTGAGACTAGCTCACACCTCTTACGGAGCCAGAGAAAATCTGAGGATGAACCCCTTCCCAAATTACCCAAAATTGGGCATTTAAATGCCTCTGCTTTGAGCCCAGGAGGGATAAGTGACCTCCCATAGGCTTTCTAGATGGCAGACAGCAAGCCAAGTGTCCAGGGGCCGACCTCGGCCATTCATCACTACAAAACGCAGTAGAAAACTATGGTTACTTACTAATCTTCTGACCCTGAGCTCCAACCTGGGCTCCATCTTTCATGCTGTGTGACTTCACAACTCTGACACTACTCCCTCACACAACCAGCAGGGCGTCAGGAGGTCAGGATAAGAACGGGGGATGCTTTATGGAAAAGACAAGTTCAAGAAGTGTGGGCTCCCTCCTCTCCTTTTCTTTTGCAGCATGCTGTACTCACTACCTCCCTTCCCCTCTTGTCCTCCACAGTGTCCCCAAAGAAAGAATGCTGCTTCCGTGGAAGCCTCGCTCTCTCTGCACAAACATAGAGGTAAAGGTCTTGTTGGACACATTTGCCAGGGGAAAAAAAGGCTTATTTTCCTGCTTTACCCCGGCCAGACCTGTTCTTGGCACAGTAATAGGAGTCACTTCTAGAGTGCCTGTAGTGTGCCAGCTTCCAGACTTGGTAGAATGAGTATCACCGTATCACTGCATCAAGCATCCCCATGTCACAGAAAGAAAAACTAAGAAGAGATTGTTCATCTGCCCTGGAGCCTTAAAGTCCAGACTCATGGATTTGGAACTGAATGGTCTGCTCTTCAAGACCTGGGTTCTGAAAATGATATTAGCCTTCCTCCTGAGAAGTTACACCTGAGCTTAAAACCTACCCTCCATTAGGAATCAGTAGGTAGGGGGAGCAGGATCTCACCACAGACATATCATTAGTGATCCTAAGTTCCTTCAGGGGCTAGAATGCCAGGCAGCTAAGGACCAGTGCTGGGGGGGGTGGAGAAAGGCAAGAGAGAGACAGGAAGATGCCTTGACCGATGTCCTCCACATCCAAGATACCAGCTTGAGCCTCCTGTCTCTGCATCTGTCCCTCTTGCTACTAGCTCTAGCGGGGCCCCAAGAGCTCGCCCTTCATTTGATTAATTGCCATGGCCACCCCCCACCCCAGTCCTGTACCTCCCTTAAATGGCTCTGGGGTCCTGAAAGGTCCATTAGCTGTGAAGGCCATTGGCAATTTCAGACTCAAAGGAGACAAATGTGGAAACAAGAGCCCAGTGATCAGCCCACAGTAAAACCCACCTGGATGTGCTTAATAAAAGGAACAAACCGCAGTCAGCCTGCCCCTGGCAGGCCTGGACTCTGGCCAGGTATTTTATTAACAGGCCCTTGGAGAGGCCTCTTTGAGCCCACAGGGCAGCTGCAGGCCTGGAAACAGGAAACAGCTCTACTGCCAACATAAGAAGCCTCTCAACTGACTGGCTCACATCCCCTTTTCTCCTTCGAGCATCAGTCAAGAGTGTTGCTAAGAAGCTACGAGGCCTCTAGTGGAAAAACATCTCCACTGATCCAGTGCCCTCAAACTTGTCTTGACTGTAGCTTCTGCTGCTACCCTGGTCTCTAAGTCCGTTGGAACCCTGGTCAGACCCAAACAAGTGTGCTGCCCTGATGCTTAGCTAATCTGAGTTGGTGGGTCCCAGGACCCAGTGAAACCCAAGGCCCAAATATGAACCCCTCTCTCCAGGCCAGACCTAAGTCTATGGCCTGCATACAGACCAAATGCCAAAGCCTCATGCTGCAGAAACACGGATCCAGCAGAGAGCGCCCCTGTGGGGGAGGAAGTGACTATCAGCACAGATAACCATGCTGCAGAGTGATTTCCCACAGGAGGTACTACTTCTTCTGGGAGCCATCCCTGACGTGACACACCCACAGTCCAGCTTGGGAAGATGGCTCACTCTGGCTCCCCATGCTCAAGTACTTCTGCTATTTTCATCATGTTAATGCAAAAGAACATTGTTTCTCCAAGTGGGAGGGATTGTGGCTGCATCAAATTAACTTCAGGTTACTTAAAAGAGAATCCCTGGGCCCTTCTCAAAGCTATTCTACCAGATTCATGGAGAGGCTGGAAATCTTGGCTAACAGGTCCACAGAGAATTTGCATGCTGCTCCAGAATTAGCAGTATAAGATGATGTGATTCCCTAACTCTGTGTCTGTCTGCCTGGACTCCTGTTCTGCAAGAATGGGGACCACAGCTAGTTCACTTTGAGTTCTTGATGCCTGACATGTACTGTGATTTTGGAAGATGGGAAAAAATACCAGAAAATAACATTTGACCTAAAACTTGAGGATACATTGTAGATTAATACAAATAAAATGATGGCATTGTAAACTAGAGGGGGCTGTGAGCAAAGACTCAAAGAGAACAGAGTTGGAGGCAAGTTCAACCTCAAGTCCACAGATCCTTGACCCACAGGTGTTGTGGACCCTGATGCCCTTGTAGCTCCTGGATTTTCCAGAGGACCTTCGGGTCCCTGGATTTTCAAACCATGAGCTGCACATTGTCTTGCCTTCTTCCGGTATGTTGACTAAGCTTCAAATTGCCTCTGACTGAGTACTAATTATGAAATACAGCATCCCTTCAACATGAATCATACAACAGATATTACTCATCCTTACATACAGTACATACATAGCATACATATTCTTATATACTCATAAACTACATGACCTATGTAAAGGAATAGAATACAGAATGCATGCTTATTTATTTACATTTGAAAACATTGAATATATAAGTAAATGAGGAGTAACATGATTTATAAAGATTCCAATAATAAAATGGACACCTATGGGAAGATCTATGTACGCTGAATATTTAGAAATTCTAAATCTTAGAAACAGCATTAAGCTAAGTCTTCTTCATCTCATCTCTCCAATCACCTACAATGAAAAGGCCTCATCCTTTTCTGTGTTGTTGATACCCTTTGTTTCTATTAGATCTCTGTCTAATAAACTAAGTTTTAAGGGTTTTAAAACAGACGTAACGGTTCTATCATCAACAAAGGGATTTTCCTTCTTTCCCAGACATCCCTGTTTTTGAAACTCCTTCCTGTCACTAGGTGTGTCTGTGGGCCACTTGTTTTCAGAGCTGTGTGGTGTTTCACTGTGTGCATCTATTACAGGTCATGCATACCTGCTCCTGACAACGGTCACTTGAGTGTCTTCTGGAGGTTTGCTATACTAGACAGTGCTGTTACAAACATTCGTCTACACATCTTCTGGCCGGTTTCCAGTTTCCCTGGGAGTCCTAACATGAGCATTAAGGGATAGCATTTGCACATCTTCTCCAATACTTCCAATTTTCTTTGCCATATGGTTGTAGCAAGTGATACTTACCAACATTATAGAAAGGTATTTAATGCCATATCCTTCTGGTTTTCATCATACGCTTATAATTTTTAGTAAATTGGTGGTTTGGATGAGCCATGTCTCCAGTAGGCACTTGGTCTCCAGTTGGTGATTCTGTTTGGGGTAGTTATGAAACTTTCAGGAGACATAGCCTTGCTGGAGGAATCACACCACTAGGGGAAGGCTTTGAGTGTTAATAGTGTCACCCACTTTCTCCTCTCTCTGCTTCCTGTGTGCAGATAAAACATGATCAGCCAGCTTTCTCTTCTGGCCACCTGCTGTATGCCTTCCTACAGCTATGGACTCCCCCTATAGAATTGTAAGCCCAAATCATTTTTTCTTTAAATTTGGGTCATGGTATTTTATCAGAGCAACAGAAAAGTCATTAATAAAGATGAAGCCATAAAACTCTATTTTAATTGGAGTGAATCAAAGCCCATGAGATCAAGTCTTTTATATTGTTTTGGTTTCCTTTACGTGGTTTGCTTGGGCTTTGCATTTGGTAAGCTGGAGGACCCTATTCACATGGCTTGCTTGTTGTTCTACTGGGTGGCTTTTTGTAGGAGCCAGATTTCCTTGGTTCTGATGCTGCTGATTTTCCTCATCCTGCCACTAGCAGCTGCCACACAAATCAGTCTCCATACACACCACCATCTCCAAGGCTCCAATCCAGCCCGGCTCACCACAGCTCATCACCAAAGGCGCCATGCCTCCGGGTTATGAGCTTTTTAGCACTCACACCACTTCTATTAGTCTGAATCCTACTTCTTAATACTTGAACATTTTTTTTTTACTCCTTTGAACCTTTATCCTAAAATTTAGGGTAATAATACCAGTGTCAATGGCTTTCATTTTTCTTATAAAATGGGTACTTGAAACATCGACTTGAACAGAATATTGCAATTATTCAACGAGAGCCTGCATGGGCAGTACCTGCCACATGGTGGTGCCATCATTCCATCCTCTTCCTACCTCGGCTTAATCTCCTGATGCCTGGAGGGCCCTTTCCTTAATACTCTGTGCCTCAGAGACTCCTAATGAGGACCCCTCCAAGGTTCCTCTCTGCAGTCTACTCCAAAAGTGAGAGTCTCAGGCCTCTGGGTAGTGTGTCAGTCAGCTTTCCTTTGTCCTGACAAAATATTTGAGAAAATCACCTCATAAGGAAGACAGGTTTGTTTGTTTGGGCTCCTGGTTTCGGTGGTTTCGTGGCCCATGGTTGCTCGGCCTCTGTGCTTCAGGCTCATGGCAGCACAGTGCAAGATGGTAGCATGTGACAGAGGAGGCCTGTTCACCTTATAGCAGACAGCTGGTAAAGAAAGAGGAAAATCCAGGGACCAATGTCCTCTTGACAGGCATCGCCAATGTCCTAGCTTCCTGCCATTGAACCTTCCAAGGGTTCCACCAGCTCCCAGCAGCACCACAGGCTGGCAACCAGGTCTCTATCATCTGACCCTCTGAGAGGCATTTAGGTGTCAGGGGATACACAAGTTGACTCACTTGTGTAGACATCAGATCATACC